TAAAACAGAAAACACTCCATTCCACCTTGTGATGTCATGTGGTAACTCAGGAACTGCGGCACTGTGTTGTAAAACTCAATTAACTTTCACTAGAATCTTTTGGATGATTTTAGCCCTGAAACTGCCCATCTTTACTGAGCTAAACATAAAAGGAGGCTGTTAACTTAAACTTCATGACATTGCAAGGTGGAACAGAGCATTTTGAGCTTTGAAGATGTAGACAGACTAATAATACAGGATTACTCAAACATGTGCGAATGAAACAAAATACAACTCTGGGTATGTTTTTGTTGATGAGCCATTTTTGAGTACCATAGGACATTTAAGAATAAAAGAGTGCAAAGGATCATGACATTTTGAGTTAGAACATTGGAATATTAAAATGTGATGACAACATGATATTGCAGCACAGTTGTTCCTTAAAAACACATGTGCAGAAGTTATATGTAGCCAGAAAATCTAACAGGTATGATATATTTATTTAATCAAGAAGCCTTTCCAAATTTTAGCCCTTTGGCAGACACACAAACTATTAACACACATATGGAAAACTAATACATAGTTACAATAGCTGTTGAGCAGATTGAGGCTTGGCTTTATTTAGCAAAATACCACCACAATCCTACTTAATAGTAATTTTAGTCCCACATGCTTTACATTTACTATATTTGCCCTTGTTTCATCATCTAAGAGTTATTGTGCTATTGGTTTTTCTGACATTTTTAAAATAAAAATAGTAGTTTCAGAATCGATCTAACACGCAAATAACACGTCTGCGAACAAACAAAGCAGAAAATTCCCGATCTGCACACTGCTCAACAAAAGGTGTTTCCAGTAAAAGAACAACATTGTTTATTTGCCTAACCTCTGGCACTCATCTCTCTGTTGAGCGGATTATTGTGTTTTAATCCAGCCACAAGTGCCCCCGCGCTGCATGTACTAGTCCGTCGCCATCATCAGCGGGCCAGGTATCAGCACAGAGACCCCTGTTTACCTCCACAGGGCTCGGGGATTAGGAGCTCAGATTTTCAAGCACTAAGGAGCTATGCTAAAGCCTTTCTGGATTATTATGATACAAGATGGGTTTTTTTCTGAGTGTTGCTCTGATCTCATGAACCAGTATGTTAGATAACATGGTACTGCTAGGGCTGTGTTCGCTTTTGTTCTTATGTTTCTGAACATGTTTATTAATATAATACAGTTAAGATCTATTATTTAGCAGTGTTGGCCCAGAACGCCTTTGTAGTCCTTCAGTGAGATGTTCTACAAAACATCTCACTGTCTATATATGTTATACCATGAATGTACAGCACTGTTTCAAAGACTGCAGATACATCTGCACTCAAAATCTCTTTATTTACAGATTTTTGAGTTATGTGATGATTAAAACAGCAAACAGTCATGTAAACAGCAAAATTATTTAATTTCTTTCCACCTATTATTCACATCAAACTTAGTGGTTTGCGGTTCATAAAAGCAATCTTGAAGATCTGGGAATCAGATAATAAGATTTAGGCACAACCGCAGCCAGACTCACACAATCTTGTAATAGTCATTTCAACACAAATAATTAATATATATGCCATTAAAAACAAACAAACACGAAAACATTACAAGTTAAACTGTATGAAGTTTTTGGTGCCCAATTTCACCCAGCTATATACTGTATATAAAAAAATAAAAAATAAAAATTAAGAATGATATGCTGGTATGTAACAGATAGTGTCAAAAAGGCAAAGCATAAAAAAGCTGTCATCTTTCAGGTCTCACCACAACACTCAAATAACTACAGGCAACTTCAGTTTACAACAAATAGCGTTTAAACAACTTTAAACCTTTTGCAACTGTCCATTAACTTTCCCAAACACTTAATACGTTATCTCACCCACTATTAGCCAGCCCATTACTGTTGTTACATTACTCCTCTTTAGCTGCAGCACTTATTGACTTGTGTAATTGGACAAAACACTGACGGCGTCTTCATTGTATAAGCTTTTTCGCCGTATACTACCACCGAGGGTCAGTGTTTTTTGATTATCTGTTAATTTCCCTCAAGACTGGAACTGGCTGAAGAACTCCTCACTACTACTTCTTTTTTCAACTTTTGGAGTCAGTAAATACTTTCCTTATTGACATAATCAAGTTGCTGAGGCTGTGACATTTACAGTAATAGCAGACTGATAATCCACACACAATTGCTTCTCCTTGCTCGAGCGCTACAGGGGAAGCCTTAGGGGACAGGCTGTAGAAAATTGTTGCTTACCGACTGACCGTGAACATGATAGCCTTGCCCTCACTCTTTAACTGTTATTACCCCTGTGGAAAATGGAGGATCAAACTGTCCGCACTGACCTGAAGGTGATAGGTCGACATAGAAGACGCAAGAGCTCTCTCAAGTGGCCAAAAAGAAAACTTCTACTTCAACACTTGTACAATTGCAATGCTGATAAATTCGTAGTTCTTAAAGGTGCACTATGTAGCTTTTTGGTTGGGGGTCTGGCATCTGCTTGTTTCTATGGATATGTCTGCGGACTGATTTAATGTTTAATTTTATGTTCCACAGTATGACATTAAACAGCTCTAACTTAAGTTTATTCAATTACAGATGATTTTATAGCTCAAAACTACTTAGAAAAACAAAGCAATAACATGTCCATGGACACTTTGGGTTGCCAGATTATATAAAAGTTTACAATAAATCTAAAAGGGTTCTCGATTATGAGAACACCAAATGGCATCTCCGTACAGTTGCATTTATATTTCTATATCTTCAAACCAAAAACAGTAACTTGTGTAACTCTTAAAGACAATGTTATAATCCACTATCTTGCCTTTCATCATCAAAGCAAATAACTATACACGTGAGAGTTTTTTAATTGCCATTTTTAAACACTGCACTAATTTATTCAAATCTGATTTTCACTCTTCTTCCTTTTAGCCTCTGGAATATAAAACTGTTCACATGGAGAGGTAGCCCAGTGGTAGATGTGTAAATTGGATAGTTAAAGCAGTTGCAGCATTAATCAGGCAGGCGTCGTTAAAGATTTCCAGTAAGATGCCTCTCCGGTGTCATATCCACGTATAGTGCTGAACGTGTAGCCTCCAGGAAATATAGGAGGCACACAGCAGCGCTTTCTAAATTGGATTTGAGAGGAGGTACCAAAGATGGTCTAGTCTTTCACACAAATGATGCAGCAAAAACCTTTATATTACGGTAGTGTAAATAAGACTAGCAGCATGCATGCAACAAACGTACAAATATGAAAGACTGTGTACATACTCATTAAAAGTGTAAAAGCAAGCGTGTTTCCGGGGGGACCTTGGTGGAGCTTCAGTAGTTTTGCTTAATTAAAACCAAAATTAATGTAACAGTTAAACACTTAATAAAAACACGGTTACCCAAAAAGCTACACATATCAAAGAGGAAGTAATGTCTTAGCACAAGTAATATTTGTATCCACTGCCCACAACCATAAAATTTTTGGTTAATGCTCTACATCATTATATAACTGATTTTTTTCAAAGGATATTGAATTAAAATTTTAACTAAAATAACGGCATAAAATAGCTGAAATAGAAAATCTGAAAACAATTGAAAGCTGTTTTTTCTTTCTCACCATCTGCCTTGTGAACAGTCCCACAGCCTATACCTCTTCGTGCTCTCCAGTTCCAGATCACTGCTGCCAGTAATTGGAAAAGAGCTTTGTGCTGGAACCATTTTGTGATTATACTTAGACACATTTATAGGAACTTTGAATTAGTTTGTAGGATGGCAAAATCCCAGGGTTACGGTTCTCTCCATTTCCTAATGTTTTGATTAAATACACAACCAGGTACTGTAGGTATAATTATACTTATAGATTTAGGTCTACCATTTTGGATCTGCAAAACTAAACCGCGCATGAATTCTGAAATTAAAAGGATTTGGATATCTCCTTACCTTTTATAGTGGCCATGAGAAATTGGTTGGTTTGTCCTTGACTTCATCTTCTTTTGTCTGTTTTACCAAAGTCCCAAGAAGGTCCCATGCAAAGATAACATGATGTAACTGTATTTCATCCTCTCGTGTATTACCTACATGCATTAATCTCATCTAGGACTTTGGGAGATATCGATTTTCTGATTTTTAATCGAGCTACCACCTCTGTTTACACAGGATATTATGCTACTGTAAAAATGGATTGTAACTACTCAGCTAAACCAGCAGCACTTGGGCTTCTGAATGGGCTAAAAATTAGCTAAATTACTAATAACAAAATCTTGCCCAGATTGAGAACTATGATAAAATGATGACTAACCATTGCAATGCTAAGATAACAGCTATGATACAAAGGCAATAAGGTCCACAAAGGATATACAATCTTCCATGAAGAATTTATCTACAACTATCAATGTAAGAAAGACAAAAGCTTAAAGGCTAACAACGCCTAGCATTAATGAACTACTGAGCAAAACTAGCATTATGGTAATGAATTAAACATAAGTAACTTGTTAATTCAGACTGATTCTTCAATTAAGGTTAAAAATCGATTTCATGATGTTGATATTAGCATAGATAGATAAATTTGTGCAGTTCAAATGCTAAACATTTCTAGCATACCATAACGCTAGTTTGCTAATGCTAGGCGTTGTCTTTCTTACCTTGATAGTTGTGGATAATTCTTCATGGAAGAATGTTTATCTTATGAGGACCTGATTGGTTGAAAATTTGTTGATGTGGCAGGCAGATTTATTAAGCTGGTGGATACGCAAGACATTTTGCCATAGAAAAGTTTTTCTCACTTCTAGAGCATTATCACTACATTCTCAAGATTTCGATATTGTGTTTTATCTTTTCTTTTTTTTTTTTTATGTATTTATTTGGTTATTTATTTAGTTAGTTAGTTTTGTTTTCCGTCTTTGCCAACAGTTGCAGCATGCCTTCCTTTCAGCGGCATTTTTGTGTTAACCAAATACAGATGTGGTCCGTGCGGGCCAGCTCAAAGTCCACCTCTGCTGCCGCCCCCTTCTGTGATTGGCCCGTGAAGATGGTGGAAGTTAGCAGGGAGAAAAAGCTTTCCCCATCTGCATTTTCAGCGCCATCATTTTCCTTGTTTGTCTTTTTCTACCTTCTATACAGACTGTGACAACATGGCTTCAGGACACGATAGTGCAGTACTCCAAGCTATTTTCAACCCCAGCAATCCCTTTGGGGACATCGGCCTGAACCAAGAGGAGGCATTAACTGATGATGGTGAGTGTATGGTTTGATGTGTGTTGCTATTTTTTCATCTTTATCATTGCCTGACATATTGAATTTTCTTGAACTCATCCCATGCCTGGACTAGAACATGACATTTTAATCCGAGTTGAGTTCGAGTGACATTTCTGTGTTTTTGCTATTGCACGCTACCTGTCAATTGCGTTGGGGAGTGCTTTCTCAACCTGTTTATCTTGCCCCGGCAGACAGCGGCTTTGACACAGAGTTGTTGAAGCAGGTGAAGGAGTTGGAAATGCGTGGCGTCTCAGCGGCAGAGGCAGGAGATTTGGAAGGCGCACTTCAACTGTTCAGCCAGGCAATCCAGCTGCTGCCCGGGAGAGCATCAGCCTACAACAACCGCGCTCAGGCCCTGCGGCTACAGGGGAACACAGCAGGTATGTACGCCCGCTCATGCTCTCGCTCACGCTCACGATCACGCTCTGCACAGGCTGTGGGGGGCGGCGGGGGGCGGCAGGGGGCTGTGCGGGCCTGGCATGACAGCACATGGCAGCTCTGTGTCTGTGCTGCACTCTGCCAGCACACTCTGCACTGGGCGTCTTTAACATGCAGCCAGCTTAGTTTCATCTGGTGTGGGTGAAGCAAATGGCAGCTCATGTTGCACGGTTTGATACTGGACTTGCTGATGGAGACTATTGTGTGTTTATTAATTCACAGTTAAATATAGAGCAATAAACCAGATTTTACTTTCCATGCATTATTAATGAAGTAACGTTTTGTCCAAAGCCTTGTCAGTCATACACAATGTGAGCTAAAATTACAAACCTAAATCTCTGTTTTATAAGAAGAGTGTAATATGTTGAGTTTGTTAAATGGATCAGAACCATATCATGCAATAAAGCTACATAATAAACTTGGAAGCTTTTTGTTTTGTAGACATATAGTTTATAATGAATCTGCATGCAGCCATTCACAGGCTTGTCCAAATATTGTTAAAAAGAAATCTATTATGAATTATTGGAATTTACATATGCCACAGTAGAAAGGAGAAGGCTTGGAGTGACTGATTGGTTTATTCTGCATTTGTACATAGATTATATACACTGTTTCAAATTACATCTCTGTATGCAAAGCCTAATTGTAATTGGACAGAATAGCATGTTTGCTTTTTTCTAACAGAACACAGCAGGTATGCCTAATTCAATTTTAAAGAATACGGCCTAATTTAGTTCTAGGTATGAAAATACGTTTTGAGAGAACACATGTGATGAACAAATGCTTTGATAACAATATCAAGTTATCATGTGCTAAGTGGCTTAAATTTTATTTGCAGAATACAAATGATTTCAACAATTTTTTTCCTTTGCTTCCTCAACATCCACAGTGTGTCATTTTGCACACTTTTACCACTATAACCTCTTTGTTATTCATGAAAGCCGTTTTCTCTGTATCAGCTGACCTCACCTGTCCGTGTATGACCCAGGTGCGTTCCAGGATTTGGACCGGGCTGTGGAGCTGAGTGGGTCGGCGGGTCGTACCGGATGCCAGGCACTAGTGCAGAGAGGCCTTCTGCGGAGACTCATGTGTCAAAACGACGAGGCCAGAGAGGACTTTGCAAAAGCAGCGGCGCTCGGGAGTGAATTTGCCCGACAACAGGCGGTTCAACTCAACCCATATGCCGCGCTCTGCAACCAGATGTTGTCGGAGGTCATCAACAAGCTCCGCAATCCTGACCTGTCTCAAGTGCTTTAGCATCTTACAAATGTCATTAAATAAAATGTTGCTTTTCTACTGGATTCTTTTATTCAAATTTACAAGGCATTTCAAAGCAATAAGGGAAACAATACAGAATATGAGCAAAAATAAATAAAATTAAATAATCGTTAGTAGATTTTGAGTTAATACATGTGGACTAGTGCTTAATGTGCACGTGGATTACAAGTGAGAAATTCTATTGCAATAATAATGCATAAGATATGACCTAAAACAAAATAAGTGTAGGCTACTCAAAGTAGACTATAGACCTAAGTGTAATTTTAATTTCATATGAGAACTCAGTGTTTCCCATTAACAGAGGAAACTATCGTGCTTAAATAGTCTCATTTTTACCCCCATAGTCTAAAAACTAGCTGAAAATAAAATGGTGAAATAAATTATACTTTTTATGCTTGTAGTGTTGCCACAAAATAGAGAAGTGACTATTTTTAATCTATAACTATTTTTTGTTCAGTAGAGGCAATAAGTGGCATTTATACACCAAAATATATTAAATAAAATGATTAGAATAAACCTGTGGAAAACACTTGAACTGAACTTAAATCGAGCACTGGTCATTGAAATACAACATCTGTCCGCTAGATGTCAGTCTCGTCCCACTAAAAAGCAGTATCACTGTTCCACATTATGCGAGATGAAATTGCGGATAGTTTTAAAGTAAATGACGTCAGTCTCGACATTTTCATCACCATCAATAGTTTTGCATCAAATGCCTAGATGTTAGTGAAATATAACTACATTTATCTTTAAACTCCAAACCAGATGCCAAAAAGAACAGTATGTACATGTGATTACTGCCCTATTTATATCTGAGAGGGAGGCACTGTTGACAAAAGACATATGTGAGTAGTTGTAAATACATGCCACTGGAGCTACTGCAGATTCCCTGGCCTGGGTGTTATCGGCTGGGACAGGCTTTCCCCTGTGTGTCTGTGACCTCTCCTAGGCCGGGTAAGGCCACAGGTTCACAGCGCTCCTCTCTCTGGTAGTAGGGGCAGCTCTGTAGGTGCTCTGACATAGAGGGATTGTCACTAAAGCTCCATCTATCCACAGTGGAAAACACAAAGCTGAAGGTCCATACCTGCAAAACAAAGCCATACACACACAAAAAAAACCTATGTAAGTGATTTGCACATGCTGAGGAATAATTCCTGTTGCCCTGTCAGGCAACAGCTGTTGTGATTTTGGCCTATACAATATTAGCTGTATTGAAGTAGTGAGAATACTTTCTGAAAGGGCAAACTTAACTATGGGCATACCACAAATATTTAATAAAAAGCTGAGCAGAAATAAATCATTACAGACAAATGACCAGCAGAAAGAAGATAATAGGGGGAAGGAAACAAAATATATTTTAAATAAACTGAAATTATGAAAGAAAAGAAAATCTTAAAATATTAAGTAGGTCTGTTGTGTTTGTAGTGTTTGGACTAATGTTACTTAAATGCTAAATCATTTATTAAAACGTATCCCATCTTAACCCAACAATGCATCAAATGATGTTGGTGTTGCTTTTGAAATACATTACAAGTGGTCAGCTGTCAACAGTGAGTGTAATTAACCTCTTATGTGTCTATGTAAGTGAGAGGAAATGTATATCTGTATTAAAGTTGCACATTAGTAAACATCATCTCACCACTGGAACTTGATGAAAGCACCTTAACCTTATTTGTTACCCCTCTGGCCTGACTTGGCAGGGGACAATTGTCTTTTTATATCCCCAGTATCTGGACCAAATATTTTTATCATCTGTATCACATGCTGTTTTTGAATACATTTGTTATGATGCCGCTCCTTCACTGGGAAAATATGCCCAGCTGTCTACTGAATATTGTTATTAGCCTTCATTTCCATGTTAATCCAGATCTGCCAAGTTAAGGAGTCACACTTTACAGTGGGCTCAAGCTCAGGCCATAACACTTCAGTGATATCACCGACACAACAGTCCCATGCTACTGTGCGTGTCCTGCTTTTACCTCATGGCTGCTTAGCTTCAATGGAAACTATGTTTGTAGGTCTCTGAGACTCTCTGCTGTACTGAGGTTTGAGCAAACCTAAGATGTTGCTATTACATTGTACTTTTGTTGGGTTCATTCTGTGGCTACATATGAATTGTTGATGGAAAACCTGCAAAAAAATACATTAATAATATGTGTAATTTTCTTATGTGTCCATTTTGTGTTTTTGTTTATAAAGTCAATTATCCAATGGTTAACTAAAATGACCTCCACACTTTCGGTTGCAAGATCCTTCTAATACCAGAGAGAAATAAAGCAATTTCTCTGATCTGAATCCTCCCATTCAAAACCCAGCACGTGCAACCAATTGTTAATCATAACTTGTGCTGTCTCGTTAGCACCGTGACTGTTGCTTTCAAATGAAAAATGGGTTGTCCATGTCCACATTTAATGAGTAGACAGACACTGGTAACCCAGATTATATTGTGATTGTAGTTCTTTTTTTAAACCAGCAGAGTGCAGCCTAGATATCCTAATAAAAACTACGTGTAAATAAAGAGAGATACTTGCTTTCTTTTGACACTTCCAGGCAGTCCTCCCAGTGGAATCTGTCTCCTTTTCCCACTTAAGGGAGACCATTCCTCTCTCCTGCAAAAACGTGCCACAAACATCCCTCATTCGGCGTGAGGCCTGGGACAGCTGGGACAATGTGAAACTGTCAAGGTAACTCGCAATGTGTTGGAGGACCTCTGAGGGCAATTTGCTCAGGTGATCCATTTGGGGGTCTTTCTTCATGTTTTGGCAGATGGAGGAAGAAGAAGAGAAGGCTTCAGGCTGAAGGACAAGAGCATTGACATCTTGGCAGTACTTTATTGTGGCCTGTTGACCTGAAGGATGAAACCTTGCCTGGGTGTAAGTGCAGCCCAGGTATGCTAGGGGGCAGCGCTGCTGGAACCATCCATTCAGACAAGATTGGATGTCGGAGTGCACGTTTTTAAAGTGTGAGCTAAACTCATCACGCCGGAAGAAGTGTCCGCAAAAGAAGCTAAAGGTCGAACTGCTTCTGTTATGCCTTCTCGTCACTGGTTCAGTTTCAACATTGACATACAGACTATTGTGGTTTGGTGCAATATCAGCAAGACACATGTCAGTTTGAAATGGTGCTGAGTGGAAGTCATATGTTTGTGTTCCTACCTCGTCATACAGTGCATCAGTGGATGTATTCTGCGATACTGAATGTCCTTTCAATTCTTTTTCCAATGCACATAGAAGTGCCATGGGTACTTCACTGCATTTTGGAAGATCTTCGATTAACACCCCCAGATCTGCAGTATCTACACACTGATGAACCATTTTGATCTTTCTGGTGGGGTCTTTTAGTTGGCATCGTCTTGCTCGGTAACTCGTAGGAACTTTGAAAGAGCGAACAGTCTTCACCTCAATCGGCTCAAGTTTTCCATAGACAAAATCCTTCTCTCTTGGGGTGCACGCTGGAAGTATACCAAAGTTAATAAGCATGGCCCCATTGTGAACTAGATACATGTCATATTCGGACATTTGGACTTGTCTTTCTAACCTCTCCAGGACCCCATCTTGCCAGGGAGCTAGTCCTGTTGCACCATTCTCGCCTAAAGCGGTAGCAGCTGTACTAGTGTCTCCATGTCCACTGCTCAAATAATATTCCCCTCTTGTCTCTCTTTGACAGCTGTGTGATTTCTCCCCTGCCTTCTCTTCCTTTCTTTCTTCATTCCTCTCCAGGTTTTTGACAGTTTCCTTGCATCCATCCATTTCCTTCTTAAACATCTTTTCCCAGGAGTTGTAGTTCTGAATATTCTCAACATTCCTACTTCTTGCCAAGGCATCTCTCTCTTCTTGGCTCAACTCTTTTTCTTTTGTTTCTGCACAACATTCAGCGAGTTTCTCATCACACAATGGAGAATTGTCAGTCGTATCGACAGAAGCACTAGACCTGGGGTCAGAATCATCAACCATCAGCTCAGGGAACACGCTCCTCATTTTGATAGATCGAAAAAGTATTTCTTGGTCTCTTAGTGCCATAGCAACATCTAGAGGTTGTCTAGTTTGACGCTCTTGTGAAATGTTTGTATAAAATGGTGGAGTATCATCAGGAATGGGCCAACGATTCCAGTCTTGAGAACAGCAGACAACACTGGCGGGACAGGTGCGCAGGTGTTGGGACAGCCGAAAGCGGGGCATAGTCAGCGGGCATCCAAAGTTGGCATTAATGCATGGAACTGTCTCATTAGGACAGAGGAGAAGGTGGTCCTCCTCCTTGCACAGATGAAGGCAGGCCCCACAGTTTTTACGACACTTAATTACCGCACACGTTCTGGAGATGTGACAGTGGAGGTTATGGCACTTGTCGCAGTGCTGGTGGGGCCCGGCTGCCTCTGACGTCCTGCTTCTCACCTGGTTCAAAGACACAGGGAAATATGCAAAAGACAATCTGTGCTGTATTTGTCGACATTAATGAAAACACACAGGATTATGCTGATGATGAAATACAAGGGCATGAGCTATAAAAGCATGCATTAAGACTACACCAGAAAGTCTGATTATGTCAGGAACAGAGCATGTGCAATATAGAGTTTGAACATTTATATACTTTAGTGAAATATATACTAAGAGGTGTTAACTTAAAATGTATTCACTTATTATTATATTTAATAATTTTGCAAATTTAAGCTTACAGCATGTTTAGAATTTGTGACATTTTGTTGATTTATGCAGACTAGAAACTGATACCAGAACTCTATAGACTGTGAGCACTGGTAGTTCCATTACTTATAATGAACATCTTGAAAATAACATACTAGAGATTTACTGATAAGGTTTTTTGTTTTTTTCACAGCCAATGCTGATAATGACTGGTTAAAATACAGAGTCACTGATATTTTTGGGCCAAAACTTTATTTTAGATTCTCCAACTTATATCATTTAAATTTTAAAGCTAAAATAAAGCTTTGTGTATTTCTAGGCAGGAAATTGACCAAAACAAAAGAAAAAGTCCAAATATCAGTAAAGCGATAAACAGGTCTATCTCGATTACATACCCATGCTGGTTATCTTTTTTTATATATAAATTGACTTACCATCATGACTATGAGCAAAGTCAAACCATAAACTGGAAAATCATATCCTACATCACAATAAAAAAAAAGAAAAAAGAAAAACACTTTTATAAATATCACGTTTTGCAACCCAAGGAAAATTGTAGATGGCAATTAAAATGTCAACACAAACAATGCCGTGCCTCACCTTTTGTTCTTGTGTGGCCGTCATAGTGTGTTCAGTGGCACCTCTGAGTAACCTCTCTGCACTGTGTCTGCACATTATAAATAGCCTCACACAGGGGCAGACAGGCCAGTGGGAAGGGGCACTATTGTCACTCAGCCATTAAGGACCAAGGTCAAGTTACAGTCGCCACATGAGAGGAGGGCGATAATGCTTCCTAATCCAGGTACTCAGCACTCTCACTACCGCTTTGCACTTTGATCTGCGCTACAAACAACAACATGGTGGATTTATATAAAAGAGTGTTCAGTGTTTGAGGATCTAAGCCTGTGGAATTAATTTTCAGATAATTGGCTGAATTATGTTACAGTAATAAAATTGATCAACAAAAACGTTACTATTAGGTTTAGGATTCACATAAAGCATTCACACTTGTCCTGATGCAGTTTAGTCCTGATGTGGACTTGTCTTGTCCTAGTCTTATAAATCCAGTTATAGTCCATGTTTAGTTTAGGGTGACCAGATTTTCAAAATGAAAAACTGGGACACACCTGGGTTGGGATGGTTGGTATAAATAAAACTGTGAAAGGAGCGCACAGCATTGTCCATTCTTGACTTATTTGTAGGTCAGTCATAATCTGAGGAACTTCTTATGGTCATTTTCAAACATGTTTTTCTGTATTTTAGTTAAATACGTGACAATATATTGCCCTTCTACTGTTGGCAGGTATCAGATTGGTCAAATACCCAGCAAAATAGGGACACTTGGACATTTCTTGTATAAAACTGGGACAAATCAATGGTTTTGGATAAATCTGCTGGGTCACCCTAGTTTAATTCCCACATTAGTCCCAGTTCAGTCCCAGTTGTGTTATGGTATGAGTAACTGAGAATTTTACCATCTTCCAGAGTAACTTTAAAAAGCATAAGTATTTTTTTTCCCATTTTTTCCCACACATGTTTAACTCACAAACCCTGCACATTTAAGCTGATTTAGTTTCTCAAACTGAATACCCTCTATTCCACCTTATGATGATGTCATGTGGTAATACAGGAAGTGCTTCACTCTGTTTTTAAGCTCCATACAACTTATAGAATCATCTGGATACTTTCAGCTGTGCAATGGCCAGTCTCTACTGAACTGTAAAAGGTAGTCATTAACTTGAAAAATACTACTGCGTGATATCACAAGGTGGAACAGAGCATTTTAAGCTTTGGAGATGCAGACAGACTAATAATGCAGGATTACTCAAACATGTGTGAATGAAAAAAACATAACTCCAGGTATGTTTTTCATGAGGTAATATCATTCTAACATGGCTCACAAGAGTTCATTTTGTGTAATTTTGCCTAATACAGATGTAATGAGCACAATGGTTTGAATATTGCTCTTTTTTGCTCCAAATTACCCAGGTGCGACCAGTGCTTAGGGGATAAAGAGGACACAATATCTCTTATTATTAACATTGTCATAACTGGACCAGCTGCTTCTGGGCACAGGCAGGAGCACACAACTATACACTGACATTTTACGTTCATCCTTCAACCACTAGATGTCAGTGTCACACTTGAGTAAAGTTGATTTGTTGGTCTTTTATAGATAATACAGAAAGCCTTGATATGGGCCTTGTTTAATTTGTTCTGTTCTAGCTGTGTGGTTTTAGGCAATTTACAATCATTTTTGATTGCATGAAAATTGTGGACACAAAATTAAACAATGGAACAACATGTCTTTTTCAAGATTTATACAGTGAATGAAACATAACCACTATCCTTTTCGTGGTTCAGAATGTTGTCTGTTTTGCTTCATAATGTGTTTAGATTAACAGCGACTGAACAATCATGGAGGTCTGTGCTCCTCAGCAGGCTGCAGGAGCAGCTCCAGACTCTCCCCAGGACAGAGGCACCCTCCTGGGCATGTGCGCCTCTGTCAGCAGCCTCTCAACCTGCAGCAGACGCCTTATCACACACAGCTGCCTCGTTCACTGTGCGCTCCTCTAATCAACGTGAGGCCCCCGCACAGCAAGCAACAATCAGCATCACACTCACCATAGCAGGAGCAATACTGTTACTGCAATTATTGCTCAGGTATGGAGTTTGAGTGAAGATAAAAGGGTAGCACTTTATAATAACTACACTTTTAATAGACTTGATGAAGCAAAGATTTCATTGGTAATAAACTACAAAGTACAAGTTCACATACTGTATAAAGTGCACATGAAAACATACAAAACTTGATTCATTAAAAAGTTTCAAGCTGAATGAAGTTGCAGAGCCATTATAAGTGTTTGTAGGTACAGGAAGGAGCAGTGGTGAGACAGCTGTGGACTGATACAAATGGAACTTTTGCTGTCTCAGAAGCCCTATGATTTTAATTGTTGCTAGATAATGGCTATTATACTATTTATAGCATTTATAGCAATAACTTTTTTGTGAGGGTCCTCTACCATGAGGTGTTATTGTTTTGCCTGGAATGTTCATCACTTTGGCATTAGATGTAACCATGCTGCATTTAATCATTTACACCTTATGTTTTCTGATCTATAAGATATTTACATTTTGCTGCTACTGTGAATAAAACTCAAAGCCACAGCTCTACTCTCTAGTACCATTACTACTGTTACTACTATAACACTACTAAAAATGCTACCACAGCAGCATCACCTTTCTTCCGTGATAATCGAACAAAACAACAATCTTTGATTTATGTTAGAGCAAGGTGAGAAGATACATTTTGCACTGAGAGAAAAAAATTCCGCATAATGATACTTGCAATATGAACCACTCTTCCACTTTACCTCCATCAATGACATTCATTTCTTTATTTGTCACTTTTATACAACTTCAACTTGTTCTCTCCATTAAGCATTATTAAAGGTCTTTACCCACCACATAATCTGTATCGTGGAAGACAATGTTCCACCTTTTGATACTTTACCAAGCAGCAAAGTAAGTAACAAGGTGCTTAACAATCTCACCCAGACTTATTGAGTAAAATTCATTTGCCTTCTCAGCTTGAGGTCTTATGCAAGCTGGCAGCCCAAAAAAGCCATAATTATCACTTGTCCATTTTCTGAGCTAGACTTGAACAATTCTGAGGCCACTGGCTAATGATTCATGCAGCGACTTCATGTCATTTAACTCTAATTTAATGTTGTAAAATGTGACTGGACAGCTTTAGATGGCATTTTTTCATCCAACCTCTCCATGATTAATATTCAACTCACTCAATAGCTCCCACCACAAGATATATTAATAACTTCACTGCATCAACTTTAACATGACTGCTTTCCACCATCCAAAGCCAGAGTACTGTATCCTTATATGGCCTATAAAGTTTAGCCAATCGAACCTCATTGCCATCATTCTCAAATATTGCCTTTTGTTTGGGATTTCTATCTGGTTTATTACACCTGGAAAACCGTATTAATAAGCTGAGAGCGAGAAAGAGGGAGAAGGGGGGAGAGAGACAGAGAGAGACAGAGAAAGAGAGAGAGGGGGAAAGGAAGAAAGTGTGTTTATTACAGCGCTGGGTCCAGTGCAGCCCTATAAATAAGATCCAGACTGCTGTGGGATCGTGTATGAATGTGGTGATTAACCAGAAGAATAACAACAATAAGAAATAAAAACTGATTTTACAGTTTAGTTCTGCAGATTCAAAAGTCTCTATGGTTTAGATTAGATTATGCCATGGTTAAATGTCCTAACAGTTAAAACATAAAAAATAAGATAATTTAATAAAAATAAAAAGTTCAGCAACGAAATAATGCAAAGGTCTCATAAGGTATTTTCTAGAGACTTGTTGTTTACTCCTCTGTTATTGTCTGTGCTAAGCTGCTCTGTTGCTACACTGTTGCAATTAAAGTGCCATGTACCTGAATAAAAAGCAATATTTCAGACTCATTGTGAAAATTTTATTACCTGTTGCTATAAATGTGACAAATATTGCATTAAGAAAAAAGAAAACCTCACATGAGCTATGACATGTGCACTGAAAACTTGTTTCCAAATGGTTTTCATCCAACAATGTCTCAAGAGTGGATACATTTTCCCGGCAGTTGCTTTCTTGTGGCTCTCATCCATCCATCATCAAACTTTTTAAAAATGTATCGGGGTGGAGATACAGGCCCTTTAACCATTTCTTTTGTTTTTTTTCTTCAGATGAAATATAATTAACAGGCGTTTTATCAAAAAAAAAAAACATTGTTTAACAGTGCCCCCTGCTGTTGAACTAAACAAAGGCATGAAATTTTAACAGCAAGTTTTTGACATCAATTTGACCTGATTTTGTCTCGGCTTTGGCCACAGAAATCGTTTTCACTTAATTATAAAGAGGTCACCACACTCATTTTGTACCTGTCTGAATGAATTGAGACACTTTTTCAACCCTGACCAATCAACACGCAAATGTTTATAGCCATATCTATTTAGCTCGGAGCGCCCGGTATTCACCATTTAATTACAACGACTAATTAAAAGTTGTTGGTAATGGGAGTTTGTGCAGGTCCCCTCAGGGCAGGGTACTTTGTGTCATTTTGCATCATTTATGAAGAATATGCTCAAGAACAAAAAAGCAAGCCAAATTGTAAATGAGATATTTCACTCCACTTGTATTCATTATAATGGGGAAAAGAGGAGGAAGTCCACGAGTAATTTTATGCCTAATGTACAACAGTCATAAATAATGGGTCATAAAACATTCATGAAAGTGGTAAAACAGCTTGTTGTAGACAAGTTCAATAATAAAACGCACCAAAAGCATTTATAATTCAGAACAGATCCCGATAGGAGGAACCAATGTGAGAATTATTGGAAATTTCAACCAAGTCCCTTTACATGCACATAAAAACGATTGATGGCAGGA